AATCTGGACTGGGAATACCTCAAAATTTCTTCAAGGATCTTCCCATTCGAGACACCGGACTCGGAGTCCTAACCAGGGAAAGACAGGACAAATCAAGCAACAACCTCAGCCATCTGTTGGCAGCAGAGACTGGGCAAATGGAGACCCTAGAAGGGACTGTGTCAATCAATGAACTCTTCAATGACCACATCATGATTGGGGTGGCGAGACTGGCAACGACCCATGAATGGTGAACTATTGGAACCACTTGATCGAGTATCTCGAAGCGCGCCCCACACCCGGGACTTGGGGTGGGCAGGAGACTGGGTGGGGCTTCTTCCTCTATATCCCCCTTTAGACCTTGAACCTTTTTTACCCCAATTAAATTTGTAAGGATTGTCAAAATTAAATAAATAAAAAAAAAGAGAGAAAAAAAAAAGAAAAGAAAGTTTCTGGGATGAAACATGTTTTAAAGGAAAGTCAGAGGCTTGACACAATGACCCAGCGGCTAAGTCTTGCCCTAGAATCCCATATGAACTCCAGAGTATGTTCTGGCTACTGCACTTTCCATCCAGACCCCTGCTTGTGGTCTGGGAAAACAATAGAGGATGGCCCAAAGCCTTGGGATCCTGTACACACATGGGAGACCTGGAAGAAGCTCTTGGCTCCTGGCTTAGGATCAGCTTAGCTCTGATTGTTGTAGCCACTTGGGGAGTGAACCAACAGATGGAAGATCTCTCTGGCTCTCCTTATCTCTGTAAATCTGCCTTTCCAAGAAAAATAAATAAAACTTTTTTTAAAGTCAGAGAAACAGATTTGTACACATTCATTTTAACAGTGAAAAAGTAAATACACAGCATAAAAGCACAATGCTAAAATAGTTCAAAAATTTATGCTGCCGCCACACAGTGGAATATTATACAACTATTCAAATAAAAGGGTAAGGTCCTGGTGAGGTAGCCTAGTGGCTAAAGTTCTCAGCTTGAACATACCAGAATCCCATATGAGTGCTGGTTCATGTCCTGGCTGCTCCACTTCCCATCCAGCTCCCTGGGAAAGCAATAGAGGATACTCCAAAACCTTGGAACCCTACACCCACATAGGAGACCTGGAAGAAACTCCTGGCTCCTGGCTTCAGATTGGCTCAGCTTGGCTGTTGTGGCCATCTGGGGAATGAGCCAGCAGATGGAAGATCTCTCTCTCTGTCTCTCTTCCTCTGTCTCTGTAAATCTTTCTCATAAAAAAATAATAATAATTCTTTTTTTAAATATGAAAAGGTGTTTTAGCAAAATGAAAAAAAAATGTTTACAATGTGAAGCTAAGTAAAAAATGGACACAATTTCAAGGGCCATATTTAACTAATTGTGTTAATTTAAAAATGCATACAAATAAAAATGGATAGAAGTGACTGAAAAAAACCCAAGTGTATCAGTGAGGCTTTGGGTAAATTTTACTTGTGTTCTGGGTGCTGCTACTGTATTTTCCTAATTCCATTTTTTAACACTTATTTACTTTTATTTGAAAGGCAAAGCTACACAGGGAGAGATCTTCCATCCACTGGTTCAGTCTCCAGAGGGCTGCAGCAGCCAGAACTGAGCTAGTCTGAAGCCAGGAGCTTCTTCCAGGTCTCCCAGGCGGGTACAGGGGCACAAGGACTTGGGTCATGCTCTGTTACTTTCCCAGGCCATTAGCAAGGAGCAGGATGGGAAGTAAAGCAACCGGCACTCAAACCAGTGTCCGTTTGGGATGTTGGCACTGCAGACTGAGGATTAGCTTGATGTACCACCATGTTGGCCCCCAAATCTGATATACAGAAAAGCCTGATGGCTGACACAGGAGTTAGCTGGATAACAGCAAAGCAAATTAAATTCTGGGGCCCAGATTCTTCACCTGGAAAAGCAGCATATTGTCAGTATATTTTTCAAGCCACTGTTTATCTGACATTTATTATCCATTGAATACCAAGGCAAGCAGACTACCCTCCATGTATGATGCTAATTCTATTCGTGTATACAGCTTGCACATGGTCACTTCCATCCTCAGCAGAAGTTATGGAGTATGTTACAATGTTTCCATTTTAGATAGAAGGGTTGGGAATACCCTCAAATCTACCCTATTCACAGATGGCAGAGGCAGGACTGGGACGTGGGTCCATCCAGCCCCGAGAGCCTCACTCTTGGCCTTCAGCCTGGATGGCTTGCAGCTTCCGCTAGGTTGGGAGGAGCAGATGAGGTCATGCAGACAGAGTGCCAAGCACAGCACTGGGCTGTCAGCACAGAGCTTCTCCATGTACCTCTGGTTGTCTTTTCTGTGCCACCTGAACGTGGCCAGACAGTAGCCAAAAAAACAAGTATACTCTTGGGGGTGGGAGAGGGTGAGACACAAAGGTGTCCTTAGACTGGAAGGGGGGATTGGAAGAGGTGTCAGGACAGAAGAGAAATGGCAGAAGGCTAACTGCCTTAGCGACCCTGTGGCTCACCCCTCCCAGGCTTCAGTAGTCCTTCTGTCTTTATGTGCAACTCAGAACAGAGTCCAAAGCACCCGTCCCAACTTCCTCCATCACCTTCGTGCTCCAGAGCTGTCAAGAGGAACCCGCCAACTGGCTTGACTTGGCTTGCAGTCCCCTGTCTCTTGGAGGAAAAGGGGTACTCTTCAGAGTTGAGTAAGACGTCTATGGCCATACCTCCCTGAATGCGCTCAATCTTGTCAAAGCTGAGTAAGACATGACACCATGTGAAGCAGGAAGGGTTGGCTGACCCCCAAGGAGCACTAAGCAATCACACTGGAGATTGCTAGTCACTGTCTGTCTTCTCAATTAGATAACAGGCGCCACAATGTTCACCACTGTATCTCTAGCTCCCCACTATGTACCAGGTACCCAGTAAACTAGGTCATGCTTGATGGAAATCTGAATGAAGGAAGAAACAAATGAACTATCAACCATCAGGTACCAGGTGAAGTCCTAGCTCCTGGCTGCACTTTTTTTTTTAAGATTTAGTTATTAGTATTGAATAAGCAGATGTACAGAGACAAAGATCTTCCATCCACTGGTTCATTCCCCAAGGAGTCACAATGGCTAAACTGAGCAGATCTGAAGCAGGAGCTTCTTCCAGTCTCCCACATGGGTGCAGGGTCCTGAGGCTTCGGATCATCCTCTACTGCTTCCCCAGGCCACAAGCAGGGAACTGAATGGGAAATGGAGCGGTCAGGACAGGACGTGAACTGGGATCCCTGGGCTTGGAGGTGGGGGATTAGCCAATTGAACCATTGCACCAGGCCCACTGTGTTCAGCATCTCAATGCTATAGTCCCAGATCTGCATTTTTACATTAAACATTTTTTTTTCACAGTCTCATAGAACACACAATACAAGGAAACTCAAGTGTATCCCAAACATGATGCTGTTTATTTTTGCAAGGAACTCAAATTGGAGCCCCTGAGCCAAGAAGTATTTGGAAAGTGCATGGGATTCTGAGAGCATCTCCAGGGCTCAAAATGACTGAAGCCCAGGGCCCTAACCTTCACCACCTCTGCTGTATGACCTGTGGAGTGATGAGCCTTTTCTCTATGAAATGATAAGGGGAAAGGGAAAAGTTAGTACTTTTAACTGTCCACCGTGCTGGGGGTGGTTAGACAGGGTCATCCCTCCTCCTTTCTGGATGTGCAGGGCCCGGGACAGACCTATCTCAGGAAGCCTAGGACCAGGCACCACTGTGTACACCTGCCTGTGGCTGTCAGGGTCTGGCCCAGGATACCCGCCCCTCTGCCCAACTGACTTGGCGGGGCCTTGGGGAGGCTGAAAGGATCTCCTTGTATGAAGGGCCTGCCCAGCACCGTGCAGCTGTCTTAGCCATACAGTGGCAAAAGGAAAGATTCCCCAAAGCCTCAGAAACTTCACGGCACCACCATGCATGAACCCCTACTCCCCACTTTAGACTAACACAGCCCTCCCCTCCAGGGAGCCCTGGGTTGTTGGGGGAGGAGGGAGTTTGGGTGGCACCAGGCCTGGGTCCAGCTTCCTGAGTTCAGGGAGAACAGGACCCCCAGCATCCATGCCCAGGGGCTTCCTGGCTTCAGGCCAAGCCGGTGGCAGGTTCCTGCTTCTCCCTTGGGCGCCAGCAAACACCACTTCCCAGCCGCCTGCCTTTCTATACCCACACCTGCCCTTCCCTCTGTGCTCAGCCCTTCTTGTGCTCTCACTGTCTCCATATCTATTTCTCCCCCTCCTGGCTCACTGCTCTCCCCACGGAGCCATCCTTCACCTGCCCCAGAATGCTGCTCCCGCCTGCTCCCGCGGTACCTTCCCCCTCCTGGTGCTCAGCCCTGTACCTCCTCTCGCCCTCTCCAGGCCTCGTCGGCATCTCTCCTCCCCCCACCTACCCCGCCCAGCTCAGGCCTCCCCATCCTCAGCCCAGTCTCCTCCTCCTGGCTCCTCTTCCCTCCCCTCCACCTCACCCCACTCTCTGTCAGCAGGCCAGCAATTCCACCCTGGGGGTCTCCTGCCTTTCACCTGCTACACACACACACACACACACACACACACACACACACACACACACACACACACACACTGCGGGTGAGCAGGCACCCATCCTTCCACCACCACCACCTTCTCATCTCCGGCACTGCCTCTTCTTCATCTGCCTCCTCCTCTCCCCACCCTCTCCTCTCTTCTCTCTGCCCCTTTAAATCTGCCTGGTCCAGCCTCCCCTGTGATGCTGAGATGGAGCAAACATTGATTTGTGCTCAGATGGAATCAGAATTTTGATTTTTTTTTCCCTCTCCCAACCACATAAGAAGAAAAAAAATAATAAAAACACCTCCTCTTGCTTGCCCCCTCCCTCTTGCCATCCCGCTTCCAAGCTCCTCTTCCCTAGCTCCATCGAAATCCAAGGCATATTTTTCCCCCTACACTATTCTCATCTCCTTCCAGCGCTGCCACTGCCTCGCCCCCCACTCCATCAGCCTGCTCCTCCAGCTGGAGAGAGACAGAGAGAGAGAGAGCGCGAGCGAGCCAGGCCTCTCTCCTGCGGCTCTCCCACCTCGCGGCCTGGGGTGGAGCAGTCTCCGGAAGGGGAGGGGGCTTGGCTGGCCCCAGCGAGGTGGGAGTGGAGGTGTCCTGCCATGGATGTTGAGCCTGGGAGGCGGCCTGCGCCCCAGCCCACATGGTGAGTACCAGACCCCTCCTTGCCTGCCCATCCCCGCAGGGCCACCCCATCTTCATCCTTCCCTCCTACCCCTACTCCAACAGATGCACCCTCTGCCCACTTTGGTCCGATTTGCCCTCCCCCCACCCCAGTCTTCACCCCTGCTTCTCCAGGGAAGGCAAAAGAACGGGAGCAGAAGGGTACCGGCAGCACCTAGGAAGCGGGTAGCCTGCGAGTCTACCCACCCCCTCCTTCAGGACCCCTAAGCTGCCATCCTCACTGGGCTCTTTAGGATTCTAGATTGGAAAAGTGGCACTCCCGCTTCGGCTCCCAGCCCTGGGAGGGACCTTTTAAAAGAAAGGAAGGGATGGGGAAACCCCCCGGGGCCCCCAAAGCTTGGAAGCTGTTGGAAGATGCTACCGGGGATGGAGAGGGGGAGGGTGGCGGTGGGGGGGAGGCGGTGCTGATGTTCTGGAGCCACCCGGCCAGGGAGCGGCGGGCAGAGAGGAGGGGCCTCGCTCACCACCTGCCTCCTCCCTCCCCACCCCCCACCCCTCCACTCTCTCCGCAGCCACTCAGGATGAGGGTCCGGCCTTGCCTGCCCGCTCTGGGCGCCCTCCGCCCGGCCCCGGTCTAGCTGCTCCCGCCCCCAGGCCTCGCCCGGCTCCCAGGCCCCCAGCCGGCTTCTCCAGCCCCAGGATGCGCTGAGCCACAGGGGTGGGACTGAGGCCGCGCCAACTACATGCATGTCCCCCGGGGGCAAGTTCGACTTTGACGACGGGGGCTGCTACGTGGGGGGCTGGGAGGCGGGGCGGGCACATGGCTACGGCGTGTGCACGGGGCCCGGCGCCCAGGGCGAGTACAGCGGCTGCTGGGCGCACGGCTTCGAGTCGTTGGGCGTCTTCACCGGGCCCGGCGGACACAGCTACCAGGGCCACTGGCACCAGGGCAAGCGTGAAGGGCTGGGCGTGGAGCGCAAGAGCCGCTGGACGTACCGCGGCGAGTGGCTGGGCGGGCTGAAGGGACGCAGCGGCGTGTGGGAGAGCGTGTCCGGCCTGCGCTACGCCGGCCTCTGGAAGGACGGCTTTCAGGACGGTTACGGCACCGAGACCTACTCCGACGGAGGTGCGCGGCCCGGCCCGGCCCACCGCTGTCAGCCTGCCTGCTCGGCCGCCGGCGCCTCCCCCGCCCCCAGCCACATGTGCACCCCTGCGCCTCAGCCTTCCTCCCCATGCCATTCCCGCGTCCTTCAGCCCTTTCCCTCCACCGCCCACTCCTGCCTTGCTCATGCACCTATCCCCTACCCTCCTCGCAGGCGGTTGCTCTCACCCTTGCCTGTCCGCCCGTGCCTGCCGCCTCTCCTCCCCACCCCCTCAAGTCCCCAACACCCCTTTTCTGCCTTCACGCCCGCGCTCCAGTCTCCGGCGTGGCCTGCCTCGTGTCTGTCGTGTTGTCAGTGTGCGCGCCTGGCAGCCCGGCCCTCACGCCCCCTGGCCGCCTGCCTGTGCCTCGCCCTCGCCCTGTCTGCCCACACTGCCCCTTTCCACGTGCCTCCCCGCCTCTTGGCTTGTCTTGGCTCTGCAGTGCACGCCTTCACACCTAGTCCCCAGTGCCCTGGCCTAACCTCCCCTTCCTATCCCATCTGCTTCCAGAGGTACTGGCGATCCGGAGGGTGGGAGGGGGGGTGTCAAAAGCCTAGTGAGGTTTGACTTTTTCTTCCCGTCCCCGACCCCTCCCGCAGGCACCTACCAGGGTCAGTGGCAGGCTGGGAAGCGCCACGGGTACGGGGTACGCCAGAGCGTGCCCTACCATCAGGCAGCGCTGCTGCGCTCGCCCCGACGTACCTCCCTGGACTCGGGCCACAGCGACCCCCCGACGCCGCCCCCGCCCCTGCCCCTGCCGGGCGACGAGGGCGGCAGCCCCGCAACGGGCTCCCGAGGCGGCTTTGTGCTAGCCGGGCCCGGGGACGCCGACGGGGCGTCCTCCCGAAAGCGCACCCCGGCAGCCGGCGGATTCTTCCGTCGCTCGCTGCTGCTCAGCGGGCTCCGGGCAGGCGGGCGCCGCAGCTCCCTGGGCAGCAAGCGAGGCTCCCTGCGCAGCGAGGTGAGCAGCGAAGTGGGCAGCACGGGACCCCCGGGCTCCGAGGCCAGTGGGCCGCCGGCACCTGCGCCGCCAGCCCTCATCGAGGGCTCTGCCACGGAAGTGTATGCAGGCGAGTGGCGTGCTGACCGGCGAAGTGGCTATGGTGTGAGCCAGCGCTCCAACGGGCTGCGCTACGAGGGCGAGTGGCTGGGCAACCGGCGGCACGGCTACGGGCGTACTACCCGCCCCGACGGCTCCCGCGAGGAGGGCAAGTACAAGCGCAACCGGCTGGTGCACGGAGGGCGCGTCCGCAGCCTCCTGCCTCTGGCCCTCCGACGGGGCAAAGTCAAGGAGAAGGTGGACAGGGCTGTCGAGGGCGCCCGTCGAGCCGTGAGTGCTGCCCGCCAGCGCCAGGAGATCGCCGCCGCCAGGTGCGCATCTAGTGTAGACACCAAGGCTGGGCAAGCAGGAGGGCAGTGCTGGGGACCAGGAAAGAGGGGCTGCCTGGCAGAGAACCAAGACCCAAGGCTTAGGAGCCTGCAGAGGAAAGGAGAGGCCTAAGATATGGCAGGTGTAGTTCTAGGCGTTTGGGTGCTTATATCTGAGGCAACAGGTGGAGTGGGTGTTTCCCTGGAGGAGGCTGTGTAAGAGGATCCAAGGCTGGGAGCGTGTCTGGGGATTGCCTGTGGGAAGGTATGTATCTATAGAACCCACTGGTGGGTGTGGGAGTGCCAATGGGCATTGCTTTGGCAGGCCCAAAAACCTCTTTTGGAGCTCAGACATGTCCCTAGTGGGAAGACTCTTGCATCCAGTCCAGCCTTCAGGCCTGGGCAGCAGTCCCAGGCAGAACAGGGAATGTTCCTCTTAAGCACACTGCAGGCTGACACCTTTTCAGCCTGGGGCTTTGGACAGGTCTCATTTGCACAGCTGACCTACCCACCTGAAAAAAGAGTCTCTTCCGGTTTTGCCTCCCTTGCCTCCTTTCACCCAGCTCATAAAGATGTCAGAGGAGGCAGTGGCTTGCCTGCAAATTAAATTTTCTTTCTGCAAATCATATTAGAATCCCACACACCAGGAACCTTGCTATCTCAAGCAGAGCTGTCCAAGAAGACTATCAGTCAAACGTGTAATTTAAAATCTTCTCATAGCCACATTTTAAAGCACAAAAAGAAACAGGTCGAATGAATTTGGTAACGTACTGTTACTTAAACCTGTATGAGTTTATCTGAAAGTGTATCATTTCAACCTGTAACCAATATATAGTTATTGGAATATTCAGGTGTGTATTTGAACTAAGCATATGATTTCAGATCACACTGACCATATTTCGGGTGTTTAATATCCACACATGGCTTTGAATGACTGAACTAGACAGCACAGATCTAAAGCAAGCCACCAATCTATCTGTAATGAGATTCCCGGGCCTTTGATTGATACAACTCACGTATTTGAACTTTTGTATGTTTTGTTTTTTTTAAAAGAGACAGGGGCATGGCTGAGGGATTTTGTTTAAATCTGAAGCTCTTTGTAAGAGGAGACATGCCAGTGCACCTCAGTGAATTTGTATAATACTGACCCTGTGCACAAGTGGGTGTGTGTGCACGCGAAGATGTCAAACACAGAGCAGAGACCTGACCCAGAGATGGTGCATCTGCAGATATTTCTGAGGGTTCTGGATGTTATAGTTAAGCCAGGAAGAGGGAAAAGCAGAATGCTAGGGAATGTTTAAGGATGAAGAGGGTGGAGGCATGTGCAAGAAAATCTGATCTAAGTAACTAGAGGATCAGGCAGTGGGAGGAGGATGGATGGTCTCCCCAGCAACAGGCCTGGCAACCCTGATTGGCTGTCAGCTGCCATGGAAACTGCAGAGCCTCCAGAGCAGGTGCCTGTGTCAGGTAGCCTGAGCCTGGCCTGATGCCTGAGCCACTGCCTAGGGCTTGATCATGCATGTCCTGCCATCTATCAAAACATGCCAGCTTCATGCTGCCAAGAGAGCACAGCACAACCCCAGACTGGGATGCTCACACCCTGCCCCAAACCCTGAGACCTGCTGCTCCACTTCAGTCTGAAAGCCCTCCAACAGAAGGGCAGGGCTAGCTGTGGTCCCTCCCAGCAGTCCCTAAAGGCCCTTTGCCCACCCCTCCCTGAGTCAGATGAAACCAGTCTCTAGCCAGAGATTCGTGGGTCCATCCTACCCATGGGCAATGTATCTGATAAAACTCCATCTGTTCCTGTGTGTCCCATCTTCAGTCAGGATCACAAAACTATTTTAACGATTGTAAGCCAACCAGCAGAGAGGGAAGGGGAAATTGAGGAAGCCTTTGGCATCAGGGAGATGGGCACTGATGCTGCTACCAGGGTTCCTGTGCCTACAGGGCAGGGCACGAGGGGCCAGGGGCTAATGCCAACAGTGACTAGGATCACGGCAGCAGGGGGAGCCCCACCCTTCCTCCAGGGACTGAGCTCAGAAAAGCAGAAGATGGGGTAGGCTTGTGGGGGAGGGAGGAGCAGTGGTAGCAGAAAGAACATTGTGAACACAAAGAATACTGAAAGAAAGCAAGATGGGAAATTCTCATGTTGGGAAATCTGCGCTGGAAGAGGTAGGATTACAACATAAGGAGGGCAGGCAGTGAGAGAGGGAAGGGAAGCTGAGAAAGAGGGTGTGGCCCAGGACTGGGAGCCTGGGGGAAAGACAGGCCAGGATGGGGGCTTTAGAATGGGCCCCCTGCACCCCTTGGAGAGGGGCTGTGGAAGAGGTGTTAAAGATGCCTGGAAGCACCCCGCCCCACACCCCTGCGACCTCCCCCCTAAGAAGCAAGGCAGGGAGAGCTGCCAAGCATCTGGCTGGACTGCAGAGGACATGCCAATACACAGGCCTCAGCTGTCACCTGCAAGGCTGTGGAACAGGAAGGGAAGAGGCCCAAGGCCCCTGCTGCTGGGAGAAGGAAGTGTTACTACAGGCCCTAATGGCAGAGGCTGTGAGAGAAGCAGGGGCAGAGCAGCCATGAGTGCAGCCAACACATCCCAGTGGAAAGAGGGGAGCATCCCTGGCCTGTCCAGGTTGGGGAGCAGCAGTCAGAGAATATAAGCAAGGGTGAGGACCATAGATGTGAGCTCAGTTCCAACGAGGCTGTGTTACAGGATAGAGGCACCAAGGAGGGGGGCAGTCTCCTAAGTCCCTTGTCACTGGAACCTTACAGGGCAGCAGACGCCCTCCTAAAAGCAGTGGCAGCAAGCAGCGTTGCCGAAAAGGCCACCGAGGCAGCGCGAATGGCCAAGCTGATAGCCCAGGACCTGCAACCTATGCTGGAAGCCCCAGGTGAGGTGTGGGCAGTACAGAGGAGGAGGCTGAAGCCCCTGGGGAGCTAGAATGGCTCAGATGTGGAGCAGGGGGACCTGGCATTAGGGTTGGGGGTGGGGACAAGGTGTGAAGATCTGAGGGGAGGGACCAATTATCCAGGGTGTGGGGCCATGAAATTCTAAAATGGACGGCAAGTGGCAAGTTTGGGATCTAGCATTGTGCCTCTGTGAGCCAGGAGAGTGGCCAGGGTCTTATGTAATGACCGCTTGGGGTGGTGGGGATAAAGTTGTGGGCTCCCCCACCCAAGGCTGACTGCCACTCCACCTATACACCAGGCCGCAGACCCAGGCAGGACTCAGAAGGTTCTGACACGGAGCCCTTGGATGAGGACAGCCCCGGGGTATACGAAAATGGACTGACCCCCTCCGAGGGCTCCCCCGAACTGCCCAGCAGTCCAGCCTCCTCCCGTCCACCCTGGCGACCCCCCACCTGCCGGAGCCCACTGCCTCCTGGAAGGGACTGGGGTCCCTTCTCCAGCCCCAAAGCTTGGCCCGAGGAATGGGGGGGCCCCGGGGAGCAGGCAGAGGAACTTGCTGGCTATGAGGCTGAGGACGAGGCCGGGCTGCAGGGGCCTGGGCCTAGAGACGGCTCCCCCCTACTCGGAGGCTGCAGTGACAGTTCGGGAAGTCTCCGGGAGGAGGAGGGGGAGGACGAAGAACCCCTGCCCCAGATGAGAGTTCCGGGAGACTCAGAGCCTGAGACCATGATCATGCCAGTCCTGAGGGGCCCACCCACTGCCGGGTGCCTGCCAGAAGAGCTCGACGAGCCTGCTGCCACCGAGAGGCCTGCACAGCCGGTGAGACGTCCCCCTACCCATGCCCATCCCTGCTTTGTGGCTCCTCTTCCTCTAAGTCTTGCTCTCATCCATCCCAGGTCTCTAATCTTATATCCCCCGAGGGGCCTTGGTTTCCACTTAGCTTCCTCTTTGCCTGGCCAGTCTTGGACCATCTCTCTCTCTGTGTCTGTCTTACACACACACACACACACACACACACACACACACACACACACACACAGGACTTCTGAGCTGGAAGGAGCTTTCCAGGTAGACCTTCAAGTCCAAGTCCTTCACTTGACAAAGAGAAATCAAAGCCCAGCACTCAAAGTGACTCGGCCGTGTTTCCCAGCAAGTGCTTAATGGCGGAGCCAGAACATTTGCCTGTTCCCTTTCCATCTCATTCCCAGTTTCCCACTCCACCCCCGCCCCCACCTCCGCACTTTCTCTCTTTGGTGCCCAGAAATAAAAAAGAAAAAAAAAATTGTTCCCTCCCTCTTCTGTCTCTCTCTCCCTCTCCTGGGAAGAAGAGAAATTGGAAAGGAGACAGAAAACCAGGAGAGGTGGAGCTTCCCCAGAGCCTTCTATGCTGATTGGACCCCAGGTCTTCTCCTGTTTCCTAGCAACCACATCCTCACCCCCCTTCATCCTTCTGCCTCCCTGCAGCACTGGCTGCTGCCACCAATGTCTGCTTCTGAGGCTGTGCACCTTCTGGCTGGGGCACAGGCTGTGCGGGCGGGATGGGAGGAGGGTGGAGGGAGAATGGAGAAAGTGCTGGCCCTGCCCAGACAGGGCCAGAGGAAAGGGCAGCCGGGCCAGCCAGCTGGGGGAGTGGAGTGCCTTGCAATCCAAAGCAATGATCCAGAAGACCCTCTTTGCCCCTGCCTCTGCAGGGCACTGCCTGGGAACCCTTCAGCTTGACCCTGGTGGCTGACCAGCTCAGGAAATGGGGATACCTCGCTCTGTGGCTGGTCCTGGGACTCAGCCTACCTCCTCTTCTGTCTCCCTAGGGAGCTGCCAACCCCCTGGTGGTGGGCGCCGTGGCCCTCCTGGACCTCAGCTTGGCGTTCCTGTTCTCCCAGCTCCTCACCTGAACCTACTTCCTGGCCTGGTTCTGGCTTCCGTTGCCTGCCTCCCCACCCCTGTGACCTGCCTTTCTTCTCTTTCCCTCCTCTTGGTTGATATTTTTTTCCTCTCCTCCTGTCCTTCCTCCTCTTTCTTTATCTTTGTCTCTTGCTTTCTTTTCTCAGATTTTCTCATTTACCTCTGGCTCTGTCTGTGTCCCTCGCTCCCTCCCCGTCCCAACAACCCCTCCTTTCTCTAGATTGTTTACATATGAAGGGCTTTTCTCTCTCTCAGAGCTGCTCCCTTCTCTGAGACACACAACTCTAAGTCAGACCATTGCCCCCACACCCTCCCCGCCTTTTCTTCAGACCCAAACTTCACTGAGGGTGGCGGTTTGGTGTCCTAAGGAGTCTCCTGGAAGTTGAATGTCGAGGAGGGAGACGGAGAAGGGCTGAGGCTCCCTGGGATTCCACCTCTCACCTCCAAGCCCTGAGCTCTAACTCGGTCCTCGCCTGGAGGAAACAGGGGGCTGAGCGTATAACAGCTGCCCGCGGCTCCTTCTGGCTCCCCTCCACTGCCAGCCCACCAGCCCCTCCTCCGGCCCCTACCATGGCACGAAAGCAATGCAGAAAGGAACAAAATCCTCAAGTCCACCCCTCCTCAAACTCTGCCCTATGACCTCTCCCACCCTTTTGTGTCCCCCTAAAAGTCTATTTGGTTGGTCTGGACTCACTTGTGGCCTTTGATTAAATTCCTAAGGGGCCTGAAGAAGACATTTGTAGCGTTAGAGGGTTAAAAGGGGCACGCAAAGGAGCAAGGACCCCGCTCCCCAACATCAGGCAATGGTGGCAAGGTTGGGGAAGGGCACTCCTGGGAACTAGAATCAGGCAGGAGAGCAGGTGCTTGCAGGTGAACAGAAGCAGGGACAGCTAAGCCGTCTCTGGCTGGGATCTGTCTCCACCCCTCATCACTCAGAATCTTACAAAGTGGGGAGACCAGGGGATGACCCGAGAGAACCACCTCTCACACACCTTCCACTGCAAGGCCCAGGCAGGAGCCAGGCCCCCGTGAGAGGTGGGGAGAGAAGCCCTGGAGAAGTTGTGGCTAATCCCTGGTACGAACCTCCCCCCTTGGGAGAAGGAAGCCCCAGGAAGCAGGGTCTGAGGGTCCCCAGGGGCTCCTTCCTCCCTCCCCTGCATGAGGCAGAGGCAAGCTGCCTGCCAATCCCCCTCCCTCCAGGAATGGCCTTGCCCGGGAATGCCCACCACACACACACACACACACACACACACACACACACCCTCTTCTTTTCTAGTCAAACTGTTTACTCCTTGGCCTGACTCCCTCCTTCCTCCCCTCTCAACCTCTACTTCTGATTTCTATTTCATGGAATTTGGGATTGAAGTTATACAACAGTGCCGCCAACAACAAGTCTTGCAGGAAAAAAGAAAAGAAATTTAACAAAAAAAATATATTAATAAAAAAGTTCTAAAAAGAGGGGAAACTGTCATCTGTTTTGGGGATTTGATGGTATCAAACTCAAGCTCTCAGAAGCTGTCCCAACTGGGGATTGAGGAAGTTCTTGGGAGAACCCCTACACTATCATTGTCTGTCTGTCTGGTAAGAGCTCCTAACCCTTCAACTCCAAGCCGAGGTCAGAGGACTCAGAAGGCTCAGCAGGGCGGCCCAGGAGGGGCGGGGTCCCGTGGTGGAGGCGGGGAGAAGGATGGACCCGACCACGCGCCAACCTCTGTACGGCCCCGTACCAGGAAGCGTTGGGGAACCGGAGCAGTGTTGAGACACAAGCCAGGTCAGCCTGGGGTGAGAAGTCGGAGCCCCTTGAGACGGGAATGCGGGGAAGAATACCGCAGGGCCGGGCTGGAGAGGAATGGATGGGCTGGCCAAGGGCGAACAGGTGCAGGTAGCCAAGGGTAGGGGGGAGCTAGGCGGGGCCCTGGCGCATGCTCGGTGGGAACGCGTGCAGGGTGGGGCGGGGCGCGTGCGCAGTGAGCATGTGCTCGCGCGGAGAGCTAGGGCGGGCTTGGAGAGCAAGGTGTGGAAAGGTAGAGGCGGGTTCTGTTGAGTGAGAGTAGTCGTGAGACACCCGGGCCCTTGGCGTCTTGGCACACGGCAAGCTTGGGCAAAAAGGCCAGGCACCCACGACCAGAGTGTGAAAGCCCTGTGCACGTCCCGGCCGGGCTCTGCCCCGCCCCACCTTCCCCACAGAATGGTGGTGTCTTCGCTGAAACTTCAGGATCTAATCGAGGAGATTCGTAGTGCCAAGACCCAGGCACAGGAGCGGGAAGTGATCCAAAAGGAGTGCGCCCACATCCGAGCCTCCTTCCGCGATGGAGACCCCCTGCAAAGGCACCACCAGCTGGCCAAGCTGCTGTATGTCCACATGCTGGGCTACCCCGCCCACTTTGGACAGGTACACCCTACATCTACACCCCTCATCCGACCAGGGAATGTCACTGCCCCGGGGGGCAGGGGCTCCCTGGGCTCTCTCATTGTGTGCACAGTTTCTGAGCCCGCAGTAGTGTGGGCTGCAGGTCGATGTCTGCCGGCTGGCCTGACCCCTGCCTTCCCTGGCCAGCACTGCTCAGGGCGCCCCCTCCCCCTTCCTCTTCCACTCCTGGTTTCTTGCAACTCTATACTCACAACGCAATCATCTTCTTGCTGAAAGGAGAGTGACAGGATGTGCGGCTCACTGGTCAACCTGGCATAAGGCAGGTGGAACCGGGCGGGCAGATGCCTTTTGTTTCAGCCTGCGCCTTTCCGGGCCCACGCCCCTTACCCTGTAGATGGAATGCCTGAAGCTGATCGCCTCCCCCAGATTCACAGACAAGAGAGTGGGCTACCTGGGGGCCATGCTTCTGTTGGATGAGAGGCAAGATGCCCACCTCCTCATTACCAACAGCATCAAGAAGTGAGGCTGGTGGGAAGCCCTGGGGAGTGGAAACTGGGACCTCCCTGTCCCCACTCCCACCACAGGGACTGCCTGCTGACCATACTCCTGACCCCACTGTGCAGTGACCTGAACCAGGGCTTCCAGCCAGTGCAAGGGCTAGCCCTGTGCACTTTGAGCGCCATGGGTTCTGCCGAGATGTGCCGGGACCTGGTCCCAGAGGTGGAGAAGCTGCTCCTGCAGCCCAGCCCCTATGTGCGGAAGAAGGTGAGGCTGCAGAAACCACCCCCATCTGCCCCTCCCCGCCACAAATTTGCCATGCACTACAGAAGAGTCCATCCTCGTCCCAACTCCATCTGAGACTCCCTGACACCCACAGGCTGTTCTGACTGCAGTGCACATGATCCGAAAGGCTCCTGACCTCTCCGATGTCTTCCTTCCACTCTGTACCCAGTTGCTCCTTGAACGTCACCATGGTAAGGCCACGGCAGGGGGTGGGGTCCCAGTCTTAGTCTGAGGTTCTGCCTACAGGTGAGGTCAGGAACCTAGCTCTCAGGAGGAGAGGGATGGTGCCACACATGCACGCGCACACACACACACATGTGGGTGGACCCTCATGTATCCACCCTGACCACAGGCATCCTGATGGGCACCATGACACTCATCACCGAGCTTTGCGAACGAAGCCCTGCAGCTCTCAGGCACTTCCGCAAGGTGGGCTAGGGAAGGAGTGGTCCAGGGAGGACTAGGGCCTAAGGTGTGCAAACTTAGGAAGCAGGGCCCCCAGGCAAGGCTGTGTGCCCCAATTGCAGGTGGTGCCACAGCTGGTGCAGATCCTCCGGACTCTGGTGACCACAGGATACTCCGCGGAGCACAGCGTGGCGGGCATCAGTGACCCCTTTCTGCAGGTGTGCCGGCCTCTCTCTGCTGCATCCCAGGAGCAGATAAGACTGTAGCGGCCCCTCACTGAACACCTTTCCCAGAACACTCTGGCCCTGCGAGTGTACTGGGGAGGAGGATGGCACTGGACACAGGACTGTCCTGCTCATCCCAGGCCTCCTAGGGGGAGAGCCTAAAGGTCAGAAAATCCACGTTGCTACCAATACAGAAAATTTGCAGTCCCCTCCCCCCCAACCCTCATCCACCTTCTACATTTCTTATCCTGTTCAGGAATCAAAGGAGCAGTGGAGGTGGGAGAGGTGGGGCCCCAGCCAGACCCTGCCCCACTGGGTGTTCTTTCCCTACTCCATGGCTCCATTCCTCTTCCCCATCTTCTCCACCTCTCAACCTTTATTAACCCCACCTCAGGTCCAGATTCTCCGTCTGCTTCGGATTCTGGGCCGGAATCATGAGGAGAGCAGTGAGACCATGAATGACTTACTGGCCCAGGTAAGAGGCACTAGGGAGAAGGCATGGGTCAGGGGTGTTGCTGTGTTGTCCCAGCCCCCTGGCATTCCCTTCCCTTCTTTCCCCTGACTCCCGCCCCACCATGAGCTTCCTGCACCTGCTGGCTACCTCTTGGCACTCGCTCTACAAAGGAGAGCCCTAAGTCTTACTGTAGCCTTCCCTGGACTCATGCCATTGTGGAGATACAGCCCCTCTCCTGTCCCCTTAGGTGGCCACCAATACTGACACCAGCCAGAATGCGGGCAGTGCCGTCCTGTTTGAGACGGTGCTAACCATCATGGACATCCGCTCTGCAGCCGGCCTGCGGGTATTGGCCCCAATCCCTGACCCTTTGTGGCTTCACCTAACTGCCTCCAGCCGAGCAAACGGGTCCTGCTCACTGGTTTCTCCCCTACCCCCACCCCATCACCCTGTGCCAATTCCTGCTCCTAACCACCGCCCCTCCCCGCTTTAGGTCCTGGCCATCAACATTCTTGGCCGTTTCCTGCTCAACAGTGACAGGAACATCAGGTGAGGCTCCCACGTGTCTGACTAAGTTGTGCGTGGAGTCCTCCACCCCCCACCCCGCCCCCGACCAATGCACCTGTGGCCCAAGCAGGCCCTGTAGCCAAGGGTTGACATGATAGGTCCATGGCGTGATAGGGCCTCTTCCCCTCCTGGGCCCAGGTACGTAGCCCTGACATCCTTGCTGCAACTTGTGCAATCGGACCACGGGGCCGTGCAGCGGCATCGGCCCACCGTGGTGGAATGCCTGCGAGAAAGTGATGCCTCCCTCAGCCGGTAAGCAGAGGCCAAAGGAGCCACCTGTGCAGGGTACATGCCACCTCAGAGCAGCTGAGCATAAAGGAGGTTGAGGGGACTGGGCTGCCTGGGGGAGGGAAGGGCCCAAGGAGGCCCAAAGCAAGGTGAGCTGGGCCGCCCACCTAAAGCCTTGTCTTGCTCCCACCAGGCGAGCCCTGGAGCTGAGCCTGGCCCTGGTGAACAGTGCAAATGTGCGATCCATGACTCGGGAGCTACAGGCCTTCCTGGAGTCCTGCCCGCCTGACCTCAGGGCTGACTGTGCCTCTGGCATCCTGCTGGCTGCTGAAAGGTGAGCTGATAGGTGCCAGAGGGTAGAGCGGAGCAGCGTGGGGACAAGGGAGGTGGAGGAATGAGTGCAGGGAGGCTCAGGATTGACAAGCTGTGTCGCCTAGGTTTGCTCCAACCAAGCGGTGGCACATAGACACCATCCTGCACGTGCTGACGACGGTGAGGCGGGCACTGGCCAGAGCACTGGACAGGACTGGGCACAGCTGGGCCCAATGACCTGGCTAGCATTCACTCCCCTCCTCCAGGCAGGTGCCCATGTACGGGATGATGCAGTGGCCAACCTTACCCAGCTGATTGGAGGGGCTCAGGAGTTACACGCCTACTCGGTGCGCCGTCTCTATACTGCCCTGGCACACGATATCTCGCAGGTACCAGTCCCCTCTCCCCAGGCCCGCCTTTTCCTGGGTCACCACCTCCCTGCAGCCCAATTCTATGTTTTCCCACGAAGTCATGACTATCCGCTTGGTGCAGGAGACACCCAAGGCCAGGGCTATTTTTAGTGAGAATATTGTTGGACTTACATCCTGGCCTTAGCACCTAGTGGCCATACAACCACAGATGACTAATGGAACTTTCTTTAGCTTCCCTCCCCTCAGCCTTTTACCTTGCCTATCCTGTACCATGCAGTCACTACAGGATCAAATTAGATAAGAACTCATTCTGCATGTACTCGAAGTACTGCAAGTATTCAGCAAGTTACCCTGAATACTAAGCGAGTTCACAGATGCCAGCCAAAACCTGCTAGCATCATCCCTTCCTGAAGGGAACCCCACCCAACCCACATCCAGCACAGCACATCCTGTGCTCAAGCCGTGCAGTTCTGGCGCCTGGCCACCAGAGGGCAGTGGGCACCCAGGCACCAGGACAGAACCAACTGTCCAAGTTACCTTTCCTCACCCTACAAACCCCACCATCTCTGCACTAACCCATAGAAGTCATGGAGTGTGGAAGTGACCCAGACACTGACCCAATAATGTTTCTTACTCTACATATACAGCAACCGCTGGTGCAGGTGGCAGCCTGGTGCATCGGGGAGTATGGAGATTTCTTACTGGAGGGGAACTGTGAGGAAGCAGAACCCCTTGAGGTGAGACTGTGCATTGGAGGGTTCACAGAGGAGAGCCAGGGAGGGGGCAGAGCTGGGCCCAGGCTCACTACATGCATGCACAACTGAAGGTGGAAGAAGAGGAGGTGTTGGCACTGTTGGAAAAGGTGTTGCAATCCCATCTGTCCCTGCCAGCCACCCGAGCCTACGCCCTCACAGCCCTCATGAAGCTGAGCACCCGGCTCCGCGGGGACAACAAGTGAGGCAGGGTGCCCAGGGCCCAGCAGCCCCTGAGCACCCCTGCAGACACAGATCCCCTCTACCCGCCTGGTCTTTAGGGTCTTGCTCGACTAGCCTTCTGGGGCCCTCCCTGGTACATGGGGGTGGTAGGGTCAGTGCACTGCCACTGCTGCTCACACACCTCGCTGTGTCCCAGCCGGATCCGCCAGGTGGTATCCATCTACGGGAGTTGCATGGATGTGGAGCTGCAGCAGCGTGCCGTGGAGTACAATGCCCTCTTCCGGAAGTACGATCACATGAGGTGTGTCTGTGGTCCTGCAGCCTGCTGCTGCAAATGTGGGCCCGCCACGCCCTGCCCTCTCCCAAGAGCCTCTTTGTGGGAACAAGAATCTCATGCACAGGAGAGCCTCCTTGCTGCAGGTTGCTGCCCCTGTGCTGGTGTATGGCCTGCTGGCCCACCTGGAACCCAGAAACAGTGTATCCTGTGGTCTCAGTACTCCTTCCCCCCCACCCCCCTCCACCCCTGACCTCCCAGCTACCTCCTGCTCCCATTCTCCCAGGGCCGCCATCCTGGAGAAGATGCCCCTTGTGGAACGAGGTGGCTCTCAGGCTGAAGAGGGAGAAAAGGAAAGCAGTGAAGCCACCCTGCTTTCAGAAGCCACAGCCTCTACCCCTACAGAACCCCAGGTGAGGTGGGAGCTGGCAGCCCCTGGGATGAGGTGACTGGGTTGAGCCACACACCAGCCCTGAGCCTCCTGCCCTTGGCCCAGGCCTCCAAGCTCTTGGATCTGCTGCATCTCCTGGATGAGCCACCCAGGGAGGCCCAGGGTCCTCCGGATGCCTCTGCAGAAGGCACGTTAATGCATCTGCTTGACCTTCCCTGTGTACCTGCTCCTTCAGGTAAGCCGCAGCCAAAGAGAAGGGGCCTTATAGAAGGAGGGTGGGGTGGTTCCAGGTCCAGGCGCCTGCACCCTTCCGTTCCTGTGTCACCAGTCCCTTCTCAGCAGGTGGGAGGGTTCGTCTGATCATACTGTGGCCTGCAGCCCCTGTCTCCTTCCCAGCCACCTGCCCAACCCGCCACTTCGCTGGCTCCCTCAACTCCTCAAACCCTCCCACACCATGTTTGGCATTTTGTGTTGTTTTTATCTGAAATGTTCTACGCCTGGCACATCAGACAGGTTCAGTCGTCAGCTGCCTCTCTCCTGGCACACCTCTTTAGGTCAGGTCCTCCCAGTTGCTATGGCGTCATTTCCTGCCTATGACAGCCATGCTGCTTTTCTTCCTCACTGTTTTTCCCCATCACCCCCGGCTGCAAGCTCCAACCACATCTTCTTGTCTATTTTGCCACTACCAGTGAGTGCTTGCCAATTTCTGGCTGAACAAATGAACAAGTGGTTATCTGGAGCCTGCCCACTGAGCTGCCTTTCTCTACCCTAGCCCCCATCCCTGACTGCAAAGTGTTTGAGCGGGAGGGCGTCCAGCTGAACCTGTCTTTCACTCGACCGCCCGAAACCCCTGCTTTACTCCTCATCACTGTCACTACCACCAACTCCTCGGGGGGTGATGTCACCCACTTCATCTGCCAGGCTGCTGTGCCCAAGGTTTGTAAAGATCAGACTGCAGAGGTGGCCTGGGTGGGCACTTCAGGAGGAAAGGCCTTAAAGTGGATGTGGTGGTGGATGAGTCCTGGGTGGTAGGGGGCAGCTTCGGGACCTCCAGGCCTGAAGGCATCGCAGGAGCCAGCCAGCCACCTGACTGTCCCACCTCCATCTGCTGTGTTCAGAGCCTGCAGCTGCAGCTGCAGGCCCCCAGTGGAGACACAGTTCCAGCTCGGAGTGGCCTGCCTGTCACCCAGCTTCTCAGAATCCTCAATCCTAACAAGGTGAGTTCCAGGAGCGCCTGGTGAGACCCAGGGTTTGGGAGAAGGCACAGATGCCAGTGCTGAGCTCCATTCTCCTTCCCTAGGCCCCCCTGCGGCTGAAGCTGCGTCTCATGTATCACCACCTTGGCCAGTCTGTGCAGGAGACCTTCGAGGTGAACAACTTGCCTGTGGAGACCTGGCAGTAACTCCCCCCCGTTTAAACCCTGGGGACCCCAGCCGCAGCACACCACCTGCACTTCAGGCCCACCAGCAGGTGGCGCTCCGGCCCCACATTGGCCACAGCAGAAACGGGAAGCGGGAGGGAGGGAGGGAGGAATGTTCCCTTCCCCCACCAGTAATGAAAGCCCAATAAAACCTGAAGGGATTGGAAAGCCATATTTGGGTATATTTGAGGTAGAAAATGTACATGGATCACAGCAAGGGGACAGTGTTCTGACAGGAAGTGTACATTTTCCACTGCATCCCAGGAACCTGCCTTAATTCGGCAAGTTCTCTTCCTCTGGATTGGGAGCAGATGTGCCCCCTCAACTTGCACAGGAGGCAGTCTTGCCATCTGGGCCAGAGCCAGGCACAAGGGCCTCAGCAGACTGAACCTCCTGTGTATTTCTAACCGGGATTCCCGACTGCTTCCCCAACCTGCTGCAATTCCCCCCACGCCCCCAGGCGGGGAAATCCCGCTGCCTCCTCTCATCTCTAACTCAGCTGTAAGGCGGTTTAGGAGCCGCTGGCAGAATCAATGGCATCGACCAAGGGAGGGGGGTGCGGCAAGGGATTTTCCTGTGCTTAACTACTGATCACGGCTAAGTGGAAATCCTTTAAACACGAGCGGAAATCAATGGAGGCTGCTTAGCGGCCAGGGGAGAGGGGCGGCCCACAGATTGCATCTGACGGATGAGGGAAAGGAGGCAGCCGAGGAGGGCTTGGTGAAGGGGAGCTAGGAGGAGGCCGAAGAACGGAGGAGGAGTCACTGTGGGAAGGGAAGCAGCCCGGCAAAGCGATGATCCCACCAGGCCGAGTTCCTTCTGCCTTCAAGTGTAGCCCAGGCAGTCATCAGGATGTTCGGTCCCCGGCCTCCCTCTTACAGTTGTGCGCTTCAGCTTCCAGCAGGCGCTGATAGTCCTGGGGCCGGAAGCGCTGCAGGTACACGATGAGCTTGGCAGGTGCTTTCTCCTGGGCCGGTACACCTACAGGCAGGATCATGGGAGACAAGCAGACACAACAGGAGGAGAGTCTCCTTGAGTGTCGCCCCTGGGCGCCCAACCAGGACCCCACGGCTGTTCCGAAGGTGGCGTTCAGGGAGTCGGAATGCCTGCACTTGCTTAGTGGGTCCTCCTCCAGTGAGGAGAAACAGCAAAGAACAGCTGCCACCCTGGCCCCAGGCCCGGGTCTATTAGCTTGCTACCAGACACCTGGAGAGGTACAAGAAGGCACGCTGGAGCCCAAGGGCGGGGGTCCCACAGCATTTCCCCCTCCACATGGTGAGAGCCTGTGGCCAGGGTCTACAGCAGTGCCCAGCAGCAAGTCAGGCTTCAGGTAGGAAACCGCGCATTTGCTGAAGACGTAGCTCCAACAGCTACCAGGCCCGTAAGGCCCCGTGGGCTGCACAACCCACTCCTCGAATGGAACCAACTATTCAGGGAAAGCCTGAAGGCAAAACTGGGTCGACCAAAGTCTCCCATAAATACTACTTTTACCTTTTACTTAATGCCAACAGGACAAATTAAATGAGGATCTTGGAAGCTATGAAAGAGAGAGAGAGAGAGAGAAAAGCTACTGGGTAGAAGTGCCTGGATTCCATTCCCAGCTCCAGCTCATGGCTCCAGCTGCCCACCAGTGGGCTGCTGGGGAAACAGGAACAGCAGGTGATGGCTCAAGTGCTTGGGGTCCCTGCCACCCATGTGGGAGCCCCGGATATACTTCCTGACTCCCAATGCAGCTGCTGGGGGCATAAGGGAACCCTCAAATGGGAGATCGGTTTCTCCCAGGTAAATGAAAATAAAATTTAAAAGTAAATAAATAAATAGATAAATAGGGCCCAGCACAGTAGCCTAGTGGCTAAAGTCCCCGCCTTGCATGTGCAGGGATCCCATATGGGCTTGGTTCTAATCCAGCAGCCTTGCTTCCCACCTAGCTCCCTGCTTGTGGCCTAGGAAAGCAGCAGAGGATGGCCCAAAGCTTTGGAACTCTGTACCCACATGGGAGACCCAGAAGAAGCTCCTGGCTCCTGGCTTCAGATCAGCTCAGCTCCAGCCACTGCGGCCACTTGGGGAATGAACGAGCAGATGGAAGATCTTTCTGTCTCTCCTTCTCTCTGTATATCTGCCTTTGCAATAAAAATAAATAAATCTCAAAAAAAAAAAAAAGATAAATAGTGCTAGTGCCTTGTCTCAATTGGCTAATCTTCCCCTTCCAAGTCCTGGAATTCCATATGGGCACCAATTTGTATTCCAACTGCTCCTTTCCCATCCAGCCCCCTGCTTGTGGCCTGGGAAAGCAGTGGAGGACGGCCCCAAAGCCTTGGGACTCTGACTCCTTGCCTTCAGATTGACTCAGCTCTAGCCATTGCAGCCATTAAGGGGAGTGAACCAATAGATGGAGGATCTTTTTGTTTCTCCTTCCCTCTGCAAATCTGCCTTTTCCAATAAAAACAAATACATCTAATAATAAGTAAACAAATAAAGATGGTCATCCGGGTGAAGGGAGAGTCAAAGCCCATTTGAAACAAATGCAAGTGAAGGCAACCTGCTAAGAGAGATAAGCGGCAAGTGACATGATATAACTAGAGATGCATGGGCAGTTCAAATGCCACCTGGACAGCTGCCTGAGAGAAGAAATGGGGCTGGGTGGCACTTGCAGCAAACTGGATTCTTTGGGAAATTTCTGGGACAAAGAGACCCCCTCCCCCACCACGCAACCACCTCTGCCCTTACCCAGCAGGCTGCTGAGGCCATGGATCTTCTCCAGCGCGGTGGGCACATCAGCTTCCTCCCTCACCAGGGCCTCAACCTCCCCCACGGCGTAACCAAAATCGGCTGTATCCAGGTCCACCCTGAGCACGGGCTCCTCTTCCCCAGCCCCTCCAGGGAGCACCAGCTTCCAGGCACTCCGCTTGGTCACAAAACTAGCTACCTCCTGCAGCCCCAGCGGGCCCAGCGCAGCCGCCACACTTCCAGCCCCCATGCCCAGTGGCGTTCCCAGCACCTCGAGGAGCTGGGTCACAATGGCAGGTTCTGCAAGGAGTTCCCTGTACTCGGTGTGGGGCCCTGGGACACCCGCCGGGCCAGGGCATTTGAGCTCCCATCCTCTGTTCTCTCGCTGTCGCAGCCAGTGATCGGCCCGCATGAGGCTCAGCTCTGGGGTGTCATAGTAGGTGTCTCGAAAGGTGACCTGACGCTCCAGGGTGCCGCCCAGCTCCTGCAGCCGCTGCTCTGTGCCAGGCCCTGGAGTGAACTTTCGTTCCACCTCAATCAAGCCCTGGGCCATACTACCTGCAATGGAAAAAAAAAAAAAAATCAGCCCCAAATCAGCAAACCTTCGCTGGAGCCCTTAAGGCGTGCTGTGAATACAGAAGGCAGACACAGGCCACAGTGCCTTTGGCTTGGGCTACGGCCTCTTCCTCAGTGACAGCAGGCCCAGGCTGATGTGTCAGGGGTCCGAGGAGGTGACAAGGATGCTACAGCTGTCCTCAACTCCAAGGGTGCCCTCTGTCCACTCTCGATTTGCCTTCCAAGGCCCCTTCCGAACACCGGGATGTTCACTGCCCCGGAGCCTCCTGCCCTTCCCCCGCCACGACACCAGCCAGCACAGCCTTGGGTCTCACCTCAAAGCCCGAGGGTTTCCCTCGTTAGGGACCCGGAGATGGCGGGGAACGGAGCCCACGCCACACCCGCGAGGAATGCCGGGAGGAGCCGGCTCTGGCCCGGGACCTCGGCCCCGATTCTCCGCGTGCGCCCTGCAGGTCCCAGCACCAGCGGCCATGTTAGGCCCGGGTGGCGGTGCTGAGAGAAGGCCGGAGCCCGAGAACCCAGCCACGGTACGGACGGTAGAGGTCCCCCGGTGGTGGGCAGGAGAGTAAGGATATCCCAAGACGCTGTGCTTCTCACCCTCGACCCTTCCAGGCAGCCGGGGTCGGCCCGGGTCTCGGGCTTCAGGATGAGCAGGCACCTTGGGGTCCGGGTGCATGCTGGGAGTTGTAGTTCCAAAGAGATTTTTTTTCCTGCCTGGCTGCCCGCCTGTCGCTATGGTGACAGTACAGCCTCAATCAGTGCCAGCGGGACTCCTACCTAAAACTATCCAAAAAGCTGAACTGGGGCTGTAGGACGGTGGGGACAGCTGGGTGCAAGGAGCTGAGGTGCCAGTCCTTCCCAACTCGGCATGAGGACCTGGGAAATAGTCACTGATTCAAACGCTGTACAGCCAATATTAGATCGACAGTTGTGAAGGCCCACTCGGTGCAGGCCAGCAGCAGTGGCCTGGGGAGGAGGGATAAAGGGTGATTAAGTCCAGTTGCACTACTTTGGACTTTTAGACGGGAACTTATATGTTCTGGCATGAATGTTCAGAGCAAAAAGTGATGTTTGGGGACCTGGCGTGATGGCTCCGTAGCTAAATCCTCATATAAGTACCAGCATGCCATATGGGTGCCAATTCCTGTCCCAGCTGCTCCACTTCCCATCCAGATCCCTGTTTGTGTCCTGGGAGAGCAGTCAAGCCTGGCCCAAAGCCTTGGGACCCTGCACTCATGTGGGAGACCTAGAAGAAGCACCTGGCTCCTGGCTTCAGCTCTGGCCATTGCAGCTATTTGAGGAATGAACCAGCAGATATGAGATCTTTCTGTCTCTTTGTAAAATCTGCCTGCCTTTCCAATAAAAAATAAACCTTAAAAAGAAAAAAAGAAATGTTTGGGATGGAAACTAAAGGTGTGATGGGATTTCAATAGTTAGAGAACCAGATGGAAAACAAAAGACCAGAAACTAGAGAACACCTGGCCAAGATGGGAGTAGAAAAAGCTGAGGTGGGTCCAATGTCGTGGTCACCGCTTATAGCGCCAGCATCCCATCTGCCTGCCAGTTGGAGTTCCAGCAGCTCCACTTCGAATGCAGCTCCCTGCAAATGCACCTGGGAAAACAGTAGAGGATGGCCCAAGGCCTTGCACCCCTGCAGGTGTCCCCTGCTACCCACATGGGAAACCTAGGGGCAGTCCCAGGCTCCTGGCTTCTCTCATGACCATCTGGGGAGTAAATCAGTGGATGGGAGATCTGTGTCTTTCTCTCTCTGACTTTCAAATAAAGAAGAGCTTAGAGGTGTCGGAGAGGAACAGCTTGGCAAAGGCCTTGAGCGTCTGGCTGGGTCCCATGGCCACTGAATAGGTCTAGAGTAGTAAATGCTTTAAAGTGCATGGGGCTGGCCTTCTGCCTTGGAAGCCCAAGGAGAGAAAACTCTTGCTCACTCCCCTGGAGGACTGCGGTTACCCACACTCCTTCATTGGATGTGTGACATCACTGGCACGGACTGGGCTCCCAGATGGGTAAGCAGCATCTGCTTCTCCACTCTGTCTTCTCACCCAGCCTTTTCTAGAATCACATGTCCAGTGTGAAGTGGGGCCAGAGGGACACTGGTTTACAGCCTGGGCAAATAACTGTGTCCCCTGGTAGGAGGTCCAGTCTGGGGGATGGGCAGAGGCAGCAGCCTCATGGGATGGCAAGAACCGACTCCAGGGCTGAACGCAGGACTGATGGCCACTTCCTTCTCTTGTTGTTGGGACTTGGGCAATCTTCTTTGCCTCCCCAGGCATCAGCCTTTATGTTGGTAAATGGGTATGGATGGAGGAGAGGGAGTCGGCAACAAACCATGAAACTGAAAATGCCACTATCTGCTTTTGTCCCTGTAAGCCTTTGTTGGGTGTGAGGGGGGTGGGGGGGACTTATTATTCTTATGAGAAGTAGTCTTTAATAGCTAGTGCAGGTTCTGCAAACTTGAAGCATGGCCTTCTCAATTATTGCCCATTGACCTAGGGTCAGCTAATTCTTCTGTACTTTGAGTTCTTCCACTGTAAAATAGGACTAATCATAGTGTCCTGCCTTATAGGGTCATGGGGATGAAATAAGACAATTCAGGTCCAAAAGCTTAGGGCTATTCCCATACACACAAGAACTCCTGTAAGTTACTGCTTCTGTATGATAATCAGATTCTGGGAGCACTCAGGAGCAAATCAACTAAAGATGAGGAGGAGGAAGACCTAGAACCTTCTTCCCTTTCCCAACTCAGAGGACTATATGACACTGTGTGGAAAACAGAGGAACCTAGCTCTTTTTCACAAGTAACTGAAGAAGGTCCCAGTACCCCAATCGGGAGGGAAGGGTGATACTAAGCCAGACAGAAGGGAATGAGGAGAGGGAGGCCTCTTGCCAATCTGGAAAGCCACTAGAAGCCCGCGATTCGCTCTGAATCGGCGCTCACTTAAAATGAAACAGCAGAATACATGTATAGCTTCTGTAGGCAGGAGGAAGAGAACAGAGAAGAGTTTAAAAGGGCCTGCCCTGTTTTGCTAGCGAGTCAAGGACGCAGCCAGGCAGATAGGCCCACCTGCCTCCCTGATCCCAGGTCCAGGGAGGTTGACAGAGTGCGAAGCTGGGCTGGCGGGTGGGGATAGGGCGGGCTGACTACAACTCCCGGCATGCGCCGCGGCGGGCGGGCCGCTGCACCTGCTCAGTGGGGCCGCCCCGGGCGCCTGGGTATTGATTATTCCATTGTGTGGGACGCCTCGGCTCCAGCCAGTGAATGAGGCGGAGGAGTGAGGCCGAGGAGGAGGAGGAGGAGGAGGAGGAGGAGGAGGAGGAGGAGGGCGAGGAGGAGGAGGGCGAGGAGGAGGAGGCAGGGAGCTAGCGAGTGCCCTGGGTGAATCAATGGAAACCCCCTCACGAAGCCAGGAAAACACTTCAGCCGCAGCCAAATAGCATTGATTATTTTCCTTCACTTCCCTCACCGCCGTGAATTTATTTATTTATTTTTTTCCATCTCCGTCCCCGACGCCCCGGAGTGAGTGCTGGAGGGAGGGAGGAGGAAGGGAGGGGAAAAAAAAGGAATCAACACATCGGAGAAGTCCCTTCCAAGAGCCGCCCCCTCCCCTCCCCGCCTCGCGCTGCTCGGCGGCCGCGGTTCGACTCCCGTCCCTGCTTCCAGCTGAGGTGTAAGTGCATCGATTTCCGATGCTGCTGGGTTGTGTGTGTGTGTGTGTGTGTGTTTTTTTTTTCTCCTCTCCCTCTCACTCTTCTTCCCTTCCTTGCTCTTCGGGAGCTCGACACGGAGGGGAGACGAGGCGCTCATAGGCCGCCGCTGGAGGGGACGAAGAGGGACGGGAAGGGGCTGGGGGTGGGGAGGGGACGCGGACGGACGGCGAGAGAGCCTGGGGAGCGGGGCGGAGGTGGGGAGGGAGAGGCAAGGGAGCGGCAGGGCGAAGGCACGGGGACGAGGAGAAGAGAGATGCCGAGCAGAGGAGGGAGGAACCGGGAAGGGAAAGGCAGGGGCCAGCTGGACGCACGGAGGGTAACGAAAGCCTAGACGGGGCCCGCGCCGAGCCCAGCGGGAAGTGGGGTTCCTGAGAGGGTAAGGGAGGCCGGGTGAGTGCCAGGGCTCGGAGCTGTCAGCCTGGAGGAGCCCGGGGTCTGGTGGCCCCTCGCCGGCTGCGGGCTTGGGGAGGAACCGCGGCTGCAGGCTGATGGATGGGCCAGCGCGCTAGGGCGTGGGGCAAAAGGGATCATGGACACCCTCAATTTTCGTTTCTGCCTGAAGTTGATTTTTTTTTGAAAGGTGCTAGTAGATGAGGGGAAACCCTGTTTCTGAGGAAGCGTGTCTGTCTCGGGCCCTCCACCCCGACCCTCACCTGCTCCTCGGAGCGACATCATTTCCCAGCACTGGTCCATGCTGCTGCTCGCAGGGCCAGTAGCAGGTTCATCTCCGCCCGCCCTAATGTCCTGCCATTCCTCGCCTCGTGTGTCCACCCCATCTGTCTCCAGTTCCGTGTCACTGGTTGTGCTTGTAACCCTTCTCATCCACGCGATGCCCCTCTGCCTGGGTGTTCCTGTCACCAGTGTCAGGCCCAGTGGCCCGGCCCCACTGCTCTGTCTGTCTAGGGCTGCATGTTGGCAAGACTTTGGAGTTTTCCTCTCAGTCATGCTTGTAGATGTCACTGGTCAGGGGAACCTGTTTCTGTCTCCCATGAGAGCCTCCGCCTGCACCTGGGCTATGGCAACACCACAACTCCCTATACTGCTAACTGTCCCCTCTGCCATGTGCCTGCCTGCTGCCTCAGGATCGCAGCTTCTGGCACGTTCTGTTCCCCTGCGTGGTGGCTCCTGGACCTTGCCAGGCGCTTTCTGCCACCAGCCTGCTCCCTGCTCAGCTCTCTCCCTCCCTTCCCCCACTTTACCATTGTATATGCTCTTTTATTTCCTTATTTTGTTTCACACCCCCCCTCTTTCCACCATCCTCAAGTCTCATAATCTCCCTGCTTATTCTATACCTTTGTTCCCAGAATCTGTTATCTCCTTACCTATTCTCCTTGGTCACCCCTAAGTTCTTTTGATGATCCCTGATCCTCTTACCCGGTGTTTTAACCTAGGCAGCAGCAGCTACCACAAGCAAGGGGCTGGGAACTGTGGGAGGTATGGTGTGTGAAGGCACATAAACAGGCCAAGAAATCAATTTAATGGGCTTCCAGGGGCATATAACCCCTTCATCAGCCAGTGCCATTATGTCAGTTAACTGTCAACTTTGATTTTGTAAGGGGACATTCCCTAGGACTCTAAGCTCCTCCCAGCCTGGTGACAAATTCCCCTAGCCCCTCAATACACAGAGAGAGAGTGAGAGAGAAAGAAATATACACTCTTTAGCTCCTTCTATCAGAGGCTTTTTCCTGCACTTTTTAGTTTATCTTCTTTTCAGGCCCTGGCCATGACTGTGTTTAGATTCAGCGCCATTCTATAGGAGGCAGTTTCTATTATGGTGAGAGACGCTGTCTTCTGCAAGGGGCCACATTTGATCAATCTAAGGAATGGCCAAGGTGGAGACGGGAGCTGGAGAGTTTATTTCAGTGTTCAGCCCATCATAGTTTTTCAGACCTCGGATTTGGGAGGATAAATGCAGGAGGTAGATATGGGTGGAAGACA